GCACTGCTGGCAGCCTGGTCCTGCCTGGCAGGGAGAGCAGAGTGCCTGAGATCCTGGCATTGAGGGCATAGGGGGACCCGTGGGTGCCGACAGGTGGCAAAGCATCTCAGCACTGTGGAGGTTCACCAAGGGTACCCCAAAGCCAGCAGGGAGTATTTCCTTACCGTGGTGCCGCTCAGCTTCCCGGGACTGCCGGCCCCCGGGAGGGACGGTGGGCTCTGCTCTTCGCTGCAGAACGTGCTGGGCAGCGGTGGCTCAGCCCTCTCCAGAGGGACACACGGGCAGAGACTGGCACTGGCAATCCCTGGGCAAGGCACTCCAGCATGGCAGCCTCACTGCCGGGACCTCTGTCTCACCACGGCGACGGGCTCAGAGGCAGCTGGCAGGGCTGAGCTCGCCCTCCTGCCATGGCTCCTTCCTGGCAAGAACTGGGTGCCCCGAAAGACGGAGCCTGTGGCACTGCTGGGCTGGTGCTGTGGGATCGGGAATGGGCTAGTTCTTGCCGCCCAGGTTCCACCCTCCAGTTTGACGTTAGCACCCCCAGGGTGGGTGATGATGGCTGGGCTGGGGGGCTGGGACATGCCCTGTGCCAGCCTGGGAGGGTTCATGGCCGGACACGAACCGGTTTGCGGCAGGGAGGGGATAAAATGGGCTGCCCGCTCATTGTGTCCCTGGGCATGGAGCTCTCTCCTCGCTCGTCAGCCCCTGGCACTGCCCTGTGGCAGCCAGGATGTTATTCCGGAGGGGCAATCCCATGCCAGGACACATGCTCAGCCTGCTGCCACCAGCATGCCGGGCTGCGGGCCACCACTATGCTGCAAAGCCACCACGGGTGCTGCCACCCTGCTGGTAGGGTCATCCACCTGCCCATGGACATGCACAGAGCAGGATAGTCAGCCCAGCACCTAGGGCTCTGTGCCGATCTGGTATGGCCCAGTGCAATCCTTCTGCTGCTCTAGCACTACCCCAGTCTAGCCCAGTGTCAGTGTTGGTGCAGTCCCAGTATAGGCTAACACTGTCCCACCATGGCATTTTTGTTGTGCCAGGATGTCTCAGTGCTGTCCCAGTAGAGCCCAGCGTTACTTTCCTTATAGCTCTGGTGCTGTCCCAGTCAACCCAGCACAATGCAACAATATCCCCAGAGTTGGGTGTCCCCATCCTGGCACTGCCCAGGGCCTGCAAATCCCATCAAAGGCCAGCGTGGGTTGCAGAGGAACATCCCTGTGCCTGCTGCTTCCAGGAAGAGGAAGGGAGACAGATTGGTAATATCTCTGGGTTTAATAAATACAGCGGGATCCCTGTCCACGGGCACCATAAATTACGTGATGAGCCCGGCCGAGCCAGGAGGGGTGCAGGGAGACAGGGGAGAGAGGGATTTTACACTATGTACAAGGTGGGCACGCTGCCTGCTGTGCCTGCCGGCCATGGGAGCTCAGAGGGGGAGGGCAGTGGGTGCCCCGGCTCTGCTAACCTGCCCGCTGCCCACTGTTATGAGAGGGCAGGGCAGCTCCGGCACTGCAGCCGTGCCAAGACGTGGGGCCCAGGCTAGGTGCCTGGCTGTGTCCACCCCGCCATGCTCCCCGGTGCCCCCCGCCCTGCGCGGGGACCCGTCCACGGCCTCCCGGCCTCGCCGCGTGCTCGCCTCGCTCTGGGCAGCGGTCGCTGCTCAGCGGCTCCACATCTCTGCCCTTGCATCCTGGACATTCTCCCGTACATCCACGGGAGCATCTGGGGCTGCAGGGTGGGAAAGGGTGCTGAGGGATGGGCATGGAGAGTGCCAGGAGACAGCTTGATCTGGCCCCAGAGGATCAGAGGAGTGTGTGGGGCCCTGCAGGAGGTTTTGGGGAGCAGTGCCCATGGGGGAACACTGGCACTCACCATGGCACTTGGTGCAGCAGGGGTTATCCCTCCTGGTGGGGCTGTCACAGGCTCCTGGCGGACACTCCTGGCGCTGGCAGTGCGTCTCTCCTGACTGTGGGGAAGAAAGAGGGGGTCAAACACAGAGGGTGGGGGACTGGCAGCTCCTCAGGGGGCAGGAGGTCTCCCGGGTGCCACACCAGGCTAATCTCTCACCCAACCCTGAAGAACTGGGGCACCTTCTCCTTCCCCTGGTGCGGCCCAAGGCCTGGCGCACTCACCACACACCAGCACAGGATGCACTTCATTTCTCCAAAGGGGGGCACGGAGGGGTGCCAGCTCTCGTTGTTGAGGTACCAGCGGCGCCCGAAGCGGCACGCCCGGGGCCCGTCTGCCTGCATGGTGTCAGCCAGCTCGGGGACACTCTTCTCCGGGGCTGCAGGAAAGGACAGTGGGAGGCTGCCTGCCTGTAGCAGGGGCACCCCACAGCATTACTGGTGGTGTTATCATGGAGACTGGGAGGGCAGAAGGGGGGTGTGGGTACCTGGGCACTGTTTGCAGCAGTCAGAGGGGCTGGCGCGCACGGGGTTGGCACAGGTGAGCCGTGGGCACTGCACCTTCTCGCAATGCACCTCACCTGTGGTGCCCTGCAGGGAGGACACGGGGCAGTCGGTACAAGGTATGCATGACCTCTCTCTGGTTTGAGCTCCTGCTTCAGTGTCTGGTTACTGAGGGCACTCACGAGTGCAGGGGCTCTGCCACGAGCTCAGACTGGGGGGCTGGGACTCACACTCACCTTGCAGGTGCAAATAGCACATTTGATGAGGCCGAAGGGGGGCACAACAGGGTGCCAGCGGGTGCCAGAGCCTCGCCACGTCTTGTCCCCATCAAAGTAGCAACCTGGGGGGAGGAAGGGGAGGAAGGGGAGAGAATAGCCCCCATGTGAGTGCTGGGGAGGCCAGAGCTGCCCCTTCAGTCCCTGCCTACTGGGACTCACCCTCACTACTGTCCCGTGCCCGCTCCAGCTTCAGTTCCTCCTGTCCAGTCTTCTCTGCAAGGAAGAGGAAGGCTGTGAGGGGGTGCACATAGTGCCAGCAGCAGAGGCTCAGAGAAGAATCCCCTGCCTTGTTCCTACAAAGAGCCCCCTTACTCCTTCAGCCTAGGATGCCCCTTCCTCCCCAGGTACCTTCGCAGATAGGGCAGCACAGCTCCTCAGGGTGCACCTGGCGGGTACAGTTGAGGGGCTGGCACAGGATGGGATCACAGATCACCGTGCGCTTCTAGGGGCAGCAAGTACAGGGCTTGTTACAGGGGGGTACTGCTGATGGGTGCTGACCCCCCCCAGCATGCCTCCCTGGACCATACCTGGCAGCTGCAGATAGAGCACTTCTTGTCATAGTCAGGTGCCCAGCGGCTGCCGTGTGCCCGGTGCTGCCCCTCAAAAAAGCAGGAGTTGGGGTCCTTCTTCAACTGCTCCAGGTCCCTGGTCCTGGTGCCCTCAACGAGCTCAGCCTCCCCCAGGGCCTCCCCTGGGGCCAGGCGTGTCCCTCCTGTGTGACAGCGGTTGGGGATGTGCACCTGCAAGGGGGAAACAGGCAGGAGGGTTGGCACCAGTAAGGAACCCTGTTTCCCATGCCGATGCCTGGCTGCTCTCCATGGAGAGGGATAGTGGAGGAATCACTCATGACTACAGTACAGGTCATGCCAGGCTGTTAGTACCATGCCCTCCATCCTGTGTCCTCCACACACAACCCTGGAAAGTGCCACCTGGCTGGGGACACCAGGCAGTGGCGGGGACAGGTAGGAGTACCCTGCTCAGCTGAGGACCTACCCGTCCCCGCATCTCCCCATGCGGGTGGGCTTTGGTGCTGACTTGCAGGAAAGCAGTGCCCTGAGCCAGGTGCTGCAGCAGGTCGGCATCCAGGTCCTTCACCACCCCCTGAGCCTGCCAAGGAAGAGAGACACCAGGAGGGCATGAGGGCTGGCCCAGCCCTCACCACGGGGTGCCCCAACCAGGTGCCTATTCACCTCAGTGCTGTAGAAACCCTTGAGCAGACGCTTGTGCTGGTGGGGGCGGGTGCCCATCTCGCCCAGCTCGGCCACCCCATGGAGGTGGGCGCTGATGGTGTCATCATCTGGGCGGCCCCGCCCCGCCACCGAGATCTCGTAGTG